TTTTTTTCAATTATATTCAATCAACAATCAAAAAAAGATGAAAAATTTAATTCCATTTCATTTCAATCAACCAAACAACAATATCATCATCATCAAACAACAGCAACGAAAAAATTTAGTTGACAGGCCAATCATGTTGTTTCATTCATTCATTCAAAAGCATTCATTTCATTTCATCTGCCCAAATTACTTTATGATAGAAATATTTCATCAACAACAACAGAAAATTGATATTGAAAAATTGCATTCAAAAAAGCATCAAAGAAGAAAATCTATAATGATAAAAATCAAGTAAACAAAAATCTTGTTGTTGTTGTTGAACAAATTTGAAAACATTTGTAGATTGATGGTCTATTAATAGCCGAAAAAATTTTGTTGTTTATCGGATTTTTACACACAACACAACGAAACTTTTTGAAGATTTTTGATATTTGATATCTTGGGCATCAATTTGTCCATTGTTTTTTCTTTTTCTTGTTCATAGTTTCGTTTATCTTTCTTTCTTCCATTCATTCATTCAATCAATCGTTTTTTTCTTGGTTAATGGAAAATATCAATCAGTCATCAATGATTTGATTTGATGGTTTTTTTCGCTGTTGTTGAATAATCAAGAAAAAAAGATCATGATTTTCCACCATGATCATCATCATGATGTCATCAAAGATGATTGGTTGTAATTGGAAACAAGAAAAACGTTGCTCTGCTTGTGCCATATCATCAGGTTTTTTTTTGACGATGAAAAACTTTTGAAAAATTGAAAAAAACTTTTTTTTTTCAATTAAATTGTCTAGGTTTTCCATCATATTTCTGGTGTGCGAATGATGATGATGATTTTTGATTTTTTTGATTTTTGATTGTTTTCAATCAACAACGACCAAATTCAAATCGTGATGGCCAATTTTATTCGTTGTTTATTATCATTTTATTTTTATTGAACAACATTTGTTCCAAAAAAAACCACAGCAAACATTCATCATTCATTCAAATCGAATCGAATCGGATCAAATTGAAAAAAA